TTGACTGATAGCATATACATCAGTGATGTTTATCATACAAATACATAATCAGAAATATTTAGACAAAATACATAACCCATTGAACATTAAATTAATTTGAACATTAGACTTTCAAAAATGTGCAATTAGAGATACAAAGCAAATTACTGATAGTTTTTGAATGTGTAACTAGAAATATTAAGTCAATTATTGACCAATATACTAAAACGAGAAATATTCATGCGGAAATACAAAGAAAGTTAGTGATCTTTATACTAGTAAAGAATACATGCAAATGCAGAGCCATAGAGAAAGTGATTAACAAGCAGAAGCAAAAGAGAGACAGAAAAAAAAAACTTTCCCAGGCAGTCATTTGAAAATGTTCGGTTTCAATTTTGCCAGATGCTGTAAATTCCTGATGGCTTGTTGCTATAACATATTGCATGCAACTTCCGCTTACCAAAAGTTTGGGATTCATTACATTTATTGCTTGTTGCAAGGAACAATTTCCGCTAGTCTGGCGTGATCTGTGAAGAAATATTACTACTGTCGCCATAAACTATTCTGATCTGCGTTTGTTTGTTATCCAAACATGTGCGTAACATGTGTTATGGGCGTTTGTCTGTGCTATTAGTGTTCACATAAATATATTGCATATTACATTCACGTATTCATCTAGATAGAGAGGTGAATAGATAGGAAAGATACGAAGATAGATGGTTAGATATATAGATGATTTAGGTGCACAGTCGTATGTGTGAATATGGTGTGTGTGTTTGTGTATGTATGTATGTATGTATGCATATATGTATGTATGTATATATATACATATGTATGTACACTGTGCATATGTTTCCTGTATATGGAGAAGTATAAAGCAGAGCGGTGAATTAAGGTGGGAGGTTGACAGGCTCCTTTTCGTGGACACCCAAGTTCATCGTTCTCCTGACCACTTTTCCATCTCCATATACAGGAAGCCTACGTGGTATGTCTATACACTTTTTCTCATACCATCCACTGCAAATAGAGAGAGGTGTTGCTACCTTGCTGTTCCTCCGCGCCCTCCGCATCTGTGACCCCGAGTACCTGGATGGAGAGATGGATTTCCTCCCGAGTACCAAGATGGAGAGATGGATTTCCTCCCGAGTACCAGGATGGAACGATGGGTTTCCTCCCGAGTACCAGGATAGAAAGATGGATTTCCTCCCGGGTACCTGGATGGAAAGACGGATTTCCTCCCGAGTACCTGGATGGAACGATGGGTTTCCTCCCGAGTACCTGGATGGACAGACGGATTTCCTCCCGAGAACCTGGATGGAAGGATGGGTTTCCTCCCGAGTACCTGGATGAATAGATGGATTCCCTGCGTCGTTCGTTCTCCAAACTGCGCTTCCCTCGTCATGGTCTCGACGCTGCATTACCCAGGGCGTACCTTCTACCGCGACTCCTCTGAAGAGACTCCTCCTCACTTGCCGCCCGCAGCCTGCCCTACACGGAGGTCTATTGTCTTCCCTCCCGCTGATGTCCACGCCCGCAGGCTGGGGGAATCTTCCTTAGTCAGGCTGCTGCCTAATTTCCACTTGAAATTAGGCTTTTCTCCTGTTGACAGTCTCCTCTCCTCCCTCATGAATATATATATATATATATGTATATATATATATATATATATATGAGTGTGTGTGCGTGCGTGTGTGTGTGTGTGTGTGTGTGTGTGTGTGTGTGTGTGTGTGTGTGTGTGTGTGTGTGTGTGTGTGTGTGTGTGCGTGTGTGTGCGTGTGTGTGTGTGTGTGTGTGTGTGTGTGTGTGTGTGTGTGTGTGTGTGTGTGTGTGTGCGCATATGTATGTATGTATATATATACACACACTTATATATATATATATATATATATATATATATATATATATATATATACATATACATATATATATATATATATATATATATATATATATATGTATATACGTATATATATATATATATATATATATATATATATATATATATATATATATATATATATATATACATGTATATACGTATATATAAATATATATGTGTATATACATACACACACACACACACACACACACATATATATATATAAATATATATATATATATATATATATATATATATATATATATATATATACATATATATACTGTATGTGTGTGTGTGTGTGTGTGTGTGTGTGTGTGTGTGTGCGTGTGTGTGCGTGTGTGTGTGTGTGTGTGTGTGTGTGTGTGTGTGTGTGTGTGTGTGTGTGTGTGTGTGTGTGTGTGTGTGCGTGTGTGTGCGTGTGTGTGTGTGTGTGTGTGTGTGTGTGTGTGTGTGTGTGTGTGTGCGCATATGTATGTATGTATATATATACACACACTTATATATATATATATATATATATATATATATATATATATATATATATATATATATACATATATATATATATATATATATATATATATATATATATATACGTATATATATATATATATATATACATATATATATATATATATA